ATAGTGTGTCATACATAAATACTCTTTAATGAATTCATATTGTTGAAAATATTTAATGAACTCCAATGAAACCAAAGACATTGAAATATATAAGGTACTACAGTAAAACTTGAATTTGATTGACTTGAATCAATGACAAAGCAATTGCCTAGTAATCTAGTAATCACAAAACCATAGATTCAACCTTAAAATATTAATTAAAAATAAACTGAATACATAATATAGGTATAATAATAAGCAATTATTCTATCTAAATTTAAAAGTTGGCAAATACTAATTACATACATTATGTAATACTATTTATATTCTACTTAAGAATACACAATGTTTTTGAATAGATAAATGGTGTGATATGCAATTTCATAAAGGTAAAAGGAAATTTTATAAAATTATACTGAAAATTAATCATGTGACATCACAAAATGTAGAATATAAATATTAGAAATTTTTTATAACATTAATAAGATATTAGCAATACTTTATTGTCTGAAATCACAGTGAGATATTATACAGGAAGTGAGAGGCCTTGGGCTATTATTCATCCCTGAATGGAATGTGTCTATTAAATCCCTCCTCTCAGAGTTCAGGGAATCTCTCAGAAGTGAAGGTGGAAAGAGTGTACGAGCCAGAGAGAATGCAGGATGTCAGGAAAAGATCCCTCTGAATCTAGTAAGCCAGGCTCATATGAACTCACAGAGGCTGAGTCAGCACACACAGGGCCTTCACAGATCTAGTATGGCTTCCACTTTAGTGTTTTATGGCATTCCTGAGTGTACAAATAAGTGTATCTCTGATTCATGTGTCTTAGGCTCCTTTCCTTTTGTTGGTTTGCCTTATCCAATTTCAATATGATCATTTTGTTTTATCTTATTATGTTTTATTTTGTTATATTAAAAAAAAAGAATAAATGAGGACTTGTCACTAGTGTAAAGGTTAACAACTGAGCTGGGAGAGGGGGAATCAGGTTTCTCCACTAGAGGGGAGGTCTATCAGGTATGTCAAGCACTCAAGGGAAGGCTTCATGTTCAAGAGCAGCTGACCTATATGAGGGACTCTCCTGGCTTTTGTGTGCTTTCATTTGGTTAGAGTTTGCTGGGTTTGTCATTGTCATATTGTATTGTTTATTTTCCAGGTTTTTGTTTTGGTTTCTTGGTTTTGAGGATTTTACTGTTATATTGGGTTTTTGTTCTTTGAGAAAGAATTTAAAGTTAGGTGGGTAGGAAGGAGACTAGGTTTGGACAGATTTGAGAGAGAGGAAGAATATCATGAAAACATAGTTAAATTTAAAAATTGCTTTAAATAAAAATATTTTAAAAAGAAGTATCTGAAAGCATCTATACTCTTGGATCACATTCAAATATTAAAAGCAAATTTAACTCTGGCTTCAAGTTTAACACAATATTTACATGCAGTTGGCAATGTTGCTACAAACAAATTAGACACTAATGTAGAAGTAGTTATGAATATGAATTATTTTATATAAGCTGATAAATACTATATATATACATACATACAGAGAGAAAGAGAGAGAGAGAGAGAGAGAGAGAGAGAGAGAGAGAGAGAGAGAGAGAGAACATCTATACTTGCAAATCTGTGGTCTGTTATTTAAAACTCTGATTTTACTTTAATAGATAGTTAACTGACTGTCTTTTATCAAAACTGTACCTTTCTAAGAATTATACTACAGCTTCACTGTGTATTTGGGTTAAATTACAGAATTGTGTTTTTCAATTTTTAAACATCTCCCCACTATAAAGTTCTCGCTTATTGAAAATGTAAGTGAAGTTGACAGTTCCGTAGACTATTAAGGTAATCATAAGATGATTCCTAAGCCCTGAGCTATACAAGCATACACAGAGACACACAGACACAAACACAAGTACACACATCTCTCATAGCATACAGAATTGTAAGGTCTAGCAGTTCCAACATATTTGGGCAAGCTTTCTCCTTAGGAAAAGCAATACATGCAGAGTGACTAGTAAACTATATTACATAAAGACCCGACCCCAAACAATCCATGTCACATTTAAAGTTAAAATGTTACAGTAGATAAATGCCAAGAGTTCTGCGAAGCTAAATATTAGCCTGCCACCTGGGGTTATAATATAAACCTTTATTTCTTTTCTATCTGTGGCCAGAGAAGCAACTGCACAGTCATTTTAAGTGTAGTTTCTCATCACCATCCGTGGAGTACTGAAATGATGAGAGGAACGGTGACCCAGTAAACTCCCCAGCATCCTATGTAAAGATGCCCATAAGCCACTTTAAACACTGCATAGAAAATGTAATTCCAAGGCCAATCTGTCAAAATTACTTATTACTATGACGTACAACAAATAAAATAGCCCTCGAAACTATGCTTCTTACTCCAACTGGCCTATACAGAGTTCTGAGGTAACTGTATAACACAAATACAAGCTGTTCTACCTCTCGTAGTACACAGCTACGACAACATGAACTGAAATTGTGTGATGCTCCACAAAGCCTCAGGTTTGTAGCCTTAAAACCATCTCTTGAATTCCCCAGCAATGAAGCTAAGCCAGCCCCCTCAAGGAGCGCCACTTCCTTCTCCTCTGGGGCTGGTTTCTCTTCCATATGAGTGCACGAACTCACCATTGGAATTATACAGAATCTGCATAGTGTCAAACTCCAAAGTTGTGTAAGTTGGATCCAAAACTTCGCTGTAGTTTCCCATGTCCATGTCCAGCATCGGCTCTGACACCCTCATCATCGGCTGAGAGACGCACATACGAATGGGTCCACACGCCCAGAGTGTGGCGACTGGTAGGCTTTGGGGCCGGGAGTGCAAACCGGAGCTAACTGTCAATGGGTGACTTCAGTGCTTCTGTGGGAGGGGCTGTCAAACTGTAACTCCTCCAGCAGGCCATATTCTGCTCAGTTTTCTTTTATGGCATAGGAGAGCAATTCCTTGTGATAATCTTGGAATGCTTCGTGGAATTGCCTCATTGAAGTGCTTAGTGGACTAACATGATTTTCTAAATGGACTTCCAGGACCCAGTAAATGACATCACTTAAAGAGGGGTTAAACACAGACAGGAATCCCTGTCAGGTTTTAGTCGCTGTCAGGTTTTTGTCAGGGATGGTAGCCTACATGAGGAGCTTCAAGGCACAGACCACACATTTTGAGAAGTCAAACTCACCTTCCCTTTACAATTAGGTAAGTGAACACTGAAACCTGTCACTTAACACACTCAACACTTAACAGGGTCAGGTTTCCTTTATATGCACAATAAAATGGACTTTGTTTATTTTGGAGTAGAACAGATTCACAGTTTGTACGGTCAGGATTTATGATGTGTTCTAGCAGCGTAAAGACTATGTGAGCTGTGCAGTATCCTCCCAAACTATCAGTTTACCGTCTGTGGCACGCCACAGTTGGGAATTTCTGGTGGGCAGACCCAAGAAAGTGGCCAGTACGCTACAATCCAGTGATGATAATAAAGAGGCATTTATTTTGACTTTATCTAATTACATCTGAAGCATTAACCAAATAAAGCTATCCCTAGTGTATGGGTTTATACATTCTGATTAACCTCAACACATATGACAGACACAACATGCTTTTTTATATGTTATTGTAGCAAGAAACATTCTGAGTTCAGGAAATACTTAGAATATTGAGTGTCAATATTTTACTGCTGAAAATATGTTTACTGATCTTATTTTTTAAAAAAGAATGCGATATTTACTTTTTCATGATTCTTTTAATGTTGAATTCTATATTTTAC